CCCCAACCAACCGCCGCCCTCTCCTGGGACCCTGGGGACCCTGGGGACACCGGGGCCGGGTAAGGGGGTGTAGCTGGGTGGCAGCCATCGCAGCCCATCCTTTGTGCGGTGAAGCAGCCGACGATGAAACCCCGAGTGGCAAGAAAACACATAGGAGTGTCTTTGCAACTCGCTTCTGATGTATTCTATTTTTTTAAGTTCACTTATTTACTTTGAGAGGGAGAGAGAGCGGGATAGAGGCAGAGAGAGAGAGGGGGAGAGAGAATCCCAAGCAGGCTCCAGGCTGAGTGTGGACTGAGCCGCGAGATCATGACCCGAGGCGGAACCGAGAGTTGGACGCTCAACCCACTGAGCCCCCCAGGCGCCCCTCGGTTCCAGTTTAAATAGGCCTTAGTCCCAACGGTGAGGAAAAGTTACCCCGGAGATCCCTCTAGACCTTTTCAACTCTGCAAAACGCGCGCGCAGACGTGTTCACACTCGCTCACACGCACAGATGCACGCACAGGACTCCAGAACAGGAGAACGTGAGTCAGAGAGAGCTCAGACCATCCGGTGACCTGCACGCATGGTGAGTGAGGCCAGTGGTCACCCAGCGAAGGAAGAGGTGCTTTCTTGCACCCCTCAGCTAAAAGCCCACTCCAGTGCCCCCGTTTCCATGTGTGGCTGTGTCCTTACCACCAGCAGCAGGCAGCTGGGTGTAGAAACCTTCCTTCCCCTCCTTTCACCTGGGGCAACAATGTAGAGATTACACATCAGAGCGTTTCTTTTATCCATCGCGGCCCATGATGCCAAGGCGGCACTGAGCCACCAGAGAATGTTCAAGTAATGTAACCAAGCCAGATGGGACAAGCTGTTCCCTCCTCTCGTCCACAGGCAGGCACCTCCACTCCTAACGAGGCAGGAGCCCCCCCCCCGGACAGCTCCGGACCCCATCCCGACCTTCCACCTCCCTGTATGCTGACCTGCTCTCTCGGGCACAGACTCCATGCCCTCGCCTTCCTTGTCCGGGAGAAGCAAAGGCAGGCTGACCCACGATGGGCTGAACAGCCGACGAGCAGGTCTGACAGGTCCTTCCGTCTGTCCCGGCCCTGCCCACAGAGCCTGCGCCTTGCCCTGGGTCTCTGCAGATCTCACGGCAGGGAGGATGCTTGCTTTTGTAAGAACCCCGGAATCCACAGAAGGCAGTGACTGAGAGGGTGATGCAGAATCTTGGGGTCTTGGGGTGCTGGGAATCTTCTCTCTGTGAGCAGTCAGCCCAGCGCATCGTCAATCCCTCAGGATAAGTCCTGGATTTTTCTCTGGTTCTCATGGTCAGTTGTGGGGATGTCTTAGGCATCCCAATGCACCCCCCTAAAATCAGCATTTGATAACTACTATTTAGGGTTAGACAAAGGTCTTGGCTCACTTCTCACCGCTTGAACCAACATGCCCCGAGCTCTACAACGACCTCTCCTCCGTCTGCTGCCCCGACAACACCCCCCACCCCGGCTTCTAGCCAATTCTTAAGACGGCTGTTCATTCGGGGATGTGCCAGGGCAAGGTCATTTCCTTCTGTCCTCACATCCTCACCGTGACCCACAGTGCCCTGTGTATCTTGTATTTGCTGATATCATATCCATTTACCTGCTCCACACACAGGGGCCTACTCAAAAGCCTTTGAAAGCGCCAGGCACACTCCAGCCCCAGGACCTTTGCACATGCGGTTATGTCTGCCTGAAATGCTCTTTCCTTCACTTCCTTTAGGACTGCACTCAAGGGCCATCTTCCCAGAGAGGTCTTTCCGGGCCACTCTATTTAAAATCACGGACTCCCCACTCTGGTTATCCCTCCCTCCTCTTTTCCCTGCCTCATTTTTCTCTGTTGGATGCACTGCTTCTGAATATGTGAAACATTCCTGTTCCTTGTTGGTCTCGTGCCTGCCTCCCCACCATGAGCCTGTAGCCTCCAGAGGGCAAGAATCCTTGTTTCTCCTGTTCTCTGCTGTGTCCCCACACCCAGAACAGTGACGCTCCATCATGACTCCATGGGCTGAGCAGGAAGGACCTTAAAGATCATCATCCCAACAGACAAGGGTCAGTTCCCAAGGTCACACAGCTAGTTCATGGCAGAACAGCAACAGAATGAGGCGAGGAGAAGGAGGAGGCTGTGGCCGCCTGGGAAGAGGGGCCAGAGCGCAGACCTGAGGTCACATTTGGACACAAACTCTCAGCCGGGACTCTTAGGCAGGTTACTTAACTCCTGAGCCCTGGCTTTCTTCCCTGCCCAGTGGGGTTAATAGTGGCACCCGCATCACGGCAGGAGAGCGCTTCTCACCATGCCTGGTGCACGGAAAGTTCTAGGTAGTTATAAAAAGCTCAAAGAAATGCCAGCATTCTAAGTGGAAGAGGAGGCCAGGGAAGGTGGCTGAATCCTCAATAAGCCTCTGCTTATCTGTAAGTTCTTTTGGTAAAGAACAGAAATACCAAGGGACGCCTGGGGGGCTCAGGCAGTTGGGCGTCTGACTTCAGCTGGGGTCATGATCTCACAATTCACAAGTTCAAGCCCTGTGTCAGGCTCTGTGCTGACAGCTCGGAGCCTGGAGCCTGCTTCGGATTCTGTCTCCCTCTCTCTCTGCCCCGCCCCCCTCTTGTTCTATGTCTCTCTCTCTCTCTCTCAAAAATAAATAAAAACATATTTTTTAAAAAGCAGAAATTTCAGGGGCGCCTGGGTGGCGCAGTCGGTTAAGCGTCCGACTTCAGCCAGGTCACGATCTCGCGGTCCGTGAGTTCGAGCCCCGCGTCAGGCTCTGGGCTGATGGCTCAGAGCCTGGAGCCTGTTTCTGATTCTGTGTCTCCCTCTCTCTCTGCCCCTCCCCCGTTCATGCTCTGTCTCTCTCTGTCCCAAAAATAAATAAAAACGTGGAAAAAAAAATTTAAAAAAAAAAGCAGAAATTTCAAAAGAGCTGTCAGAATAGAGTTGAGGAAGCCCCCGGTTCCCAAAGGGCCATGAGCTCAGAAGGAGGCCAAAAACCATTTCTTAGTCACCACGGCAACATCGGGTGGACCCCGACTGACAATTTCCCCACACTTCCAAGGTCCAGAAAGCAGTATTTCTGTTAACTGTTTTTCTGGTTTGGTTGAAAGAGTGTCTTCTGGAGGGACACCCAAGGAGTGGGTTGGGGTGGGGGACCCGGTAGGCATGGGGACAGCGCCACCTAGTGACCACATCCCAGAGATGTGATCGATAAAGGATCACCGAGTGATCAACAGTCACTGTGAACTGCGCGGGGCCACAGAGCACCTCTGGGGGATACTTTTATCCGTAAAACGTAGGGAGTGTGAGTGGGGAGGTTTCTGGGCTTGCTTTGCAATCATGACGTTGGCAGTGGGTGGGGGTGCGGGTGCTAGGTGCTGGGTACATGAAGGTCCCATATGGAGAAAGGCAGACCCAAAACAGAAGCCAGAGAACAGGAGTCCAGGTACCAGCCACGGCCCTCAGGGGCAGGTTCCAAACAGGGGATGACGTACCTAAATGGGGGCTATGCTCCTTCGCTCTTCCGACTAATGCCGGGCAGGATTCCAGAACTTGGAGGCAGCTTCTCAACTGCTGAGCTGGAGGCGGATTGAGTGTCCCAGGGCGGGGCTGGGTGTGGTTCTGAGGCTGGCCTCTGGTGTGCAGCCAGCAGTGTGGACCCCACAGCCCCCCTCAGGTACAGAGCCGGCAGCGTGGACCCCACACCCACCTCTGGCCAGCACCAGTTCGGAGAGTGGGCCGAGGAGGGCAGGAAGCAACTATTTCCACAGGAGCAGATAAAACCGGTCATTCTCTGTTGCTTTTCCCATTCTACGTGCAATCATCTGCCTGTCAATCCCACTCGGATGTCTGGGCATCTCAAATCTAACTCAGCCAAACCAGGTCTATTGAAAAAATGTTTTATTTATTTTTGAGAGAGAAAGAGAGACAGAGCACGAGCAGGGGAGGGGCAGACAGGGAGGGAGACACAGAA